GGCCGGTGGGGACGGGGACCTGCCAGAGAGCGGGGGCCTGGACGGACAGCGCTGCCCTCCTTGTTGCAGGCGCGGCAGCTTCGCTCCGGGCGGCGCGTCGCGGGGCCATGTGATCCCGCGCGGGGGGATGCAGGGCGGCTTCCGAGGACAGAGCCGGGGGAGCAGACCCAGCGACGCCCGCTTCACCCGCCGCTACTGAGGACTCCAAAGCCTGTGTTCCTGTCCTGTGACCAGAGTATGTTCTGTTAGGAGTTATCTTAAACCGTGTATAAATAATTTTTTTTATCTGCTGCCATATTGTAGCTCAATACAATGTGAAAGTTCATTTTTGTTTTTTTGTTTTGTTTTGTTTTTTTTGTAATAAAGGTGTTTCTGTTCACACACCCCTAAGCATCATCTCATTGTTTCCGCCAGTGAGAGGGCTTCTGCTCAGCACTGGCGCCAGGGCTGCGAGCAGCAACCTCGGGGTGTCGGGGGAGCCACAGCGCTGGACAGCCCCGCTCCATCTCTACAGGCCAGGCCCTCCGAGCTGCGTGCAGGGCTGTGTGCGCACCAGGTTGCCCTAAGTACACCTCCTCCTAAAACATGCGGGGGCCTGAGGTTGCCACACGGGCCCTAGGAGCAGCTCCATTCCCGGGGGTCGGGCCCGGAGGAGGCAGGGCAGTCTGCACCGCCGAGCACAGTGAGCACAGCGTGGGGCAGCGTTGGGGAGCCCTAGAGGGGCGCCTTTGTTGTGACCAAGCAGCTGCATCCCGCTGTCTGCCGAATGTGGCCTTGCAGGGACACAGGCCTGACACCTCCCGCATGGGTCTGTTGCCTTTGAACCTTTTGGCACCAGTCCCACTGCACGGGTTCTTCAGCAGGGCCCTGTGTGTGCGGGAAGACCGCTAGGAGGGCTGGCTGCGCTAGTGGGGGGTGGCCCCCAGGGGACCCTGGGCCTGGATCACCGAAGACATCCGATGTGGACAGCAGTTCTTCACTGAGATTTCAAGAGGTTAGTGTTACGTAACCCGTGAGCCATGCTGGGGCCTCCGTCCACAATGGCTCGCTCCGCTGTCCTTTCATGGATGCAGCCGCTTCCACGGCCATCCTCCCTCAGCAGGAGCCCAGTTTGCCACTCCGTGTCGCCTTGCCAAAATCTGAGGCCCGGTCGTGACCACCTGCTGTTTTCATGCTACCGCCGTCTCACTCTGGACAGCGGTGTGGTTCTCCCCGTGCAGTGGATGTCGTCACTGGTGAGCCAGCCCCTGCAACGGGGCAGGGAGGATCGGGACAGCGGGCCTCCCCCTGGCCTAAGGGTCTCCTCAGCTGTAAAGGACCTGTGCCCAGACAAAGATGGTCTTAAACAGAAAGTCTGCGCCGAGCCACTCAGAACTTTGGTCCATAGATGGCAAGTGCCTGTAGTGCTGCCCAGATCCTGGGGCCCACGCACCATCCCTGCAGCCAGGCCTGGCCCAGCCCACCCGCTGGGACTGCAGTGCCAGTGAGGCCACAGTGTTGAGAAGGACCAGGATCCACGCAGTGACCCAGCCACCTCATTGTCTGCTTCATACCTAAATACCAGTACACGTTTCCCTAGATGTGCTTTTTGTAGCACTGGGGACGGAACCCTGGGCCATCACACACAGCTACAACAAAATTTTGAAACAGGGTCTTGGGGGCCGGAGATGTACCTCAGTGGCACAGCACCTGCCTGGCAAGTGTGAGGCCCTGAGTTTGATTTCTGGTACCAAATAATAATAATAAATAATAATAAAGATAATAATCAGGGTCTTGTTAAGTTGTTCAAGCTGGACTTGTGATCCTCCTGCCTCAGCCACCTAGAGTACTGGGATGATAGGCATGCACCAACCGGGCCCTTTTTTTGAGACAATATCTTACTATGTAGTTCAGGCTGGCCCTGAACTCACTATGTAGCCCGGGCTAGCCCTGAACTCACAACAATCCTGCCTCAGTCTCCTGAATGCTAGGATGATAGGTGTGTGCCACCATGCCTGGCAAAATTACCTATTTTTGTGAAATACAAAAATGCTGGCCCTGCAGCAGGTGCAAGGACTGAGCATGTTTCTAGTCTCCATATCAAATGCTTTTCTCCAGGGCTTAGGCCGCAGGCTCCATCCTCCACGGCAGCCGCAGTCCCCTGACCAGTTCTGCTTCACTGCTGGGAAACAGCGCAGACTGGAATTGCTTCAGGTGGGAGAACCCGCTGTCACAAGCAGTGATTCCTCCCTGGGGCCTCTCCTGTGGGTTCTCAGTGTCACTCACAGGCTGGGGACGTGGCTGGGTGGCAGCACTGGCCTGGCCTGTGCACGGCCCTGGGTTTTATAACCAGCGCCACTCGGCCTCCAGCCACAGGCAACCTGGTGGCCTCTACTATGTAGGATAAGAAGAGACTGTCCCCACAGCATGTTCCCATCCTGGTCCATGGCTCCACAGGAAGCTGATGCCCAGGTCTGGTCCCAGAGGGCAGATCCAGCCCAGTTCCAGCAAGGCAGACCCACAGGTGCCCACCAGCCTGCACCCTGGCGTAGGAGGCCCCTCTGTGGGCCGGTGCGGGGGAGGGGCAGGTGGGTTTGGGCACAGTACCCCCACTGCCCCATCCTCACCTGTTAGTGCCCTCCGGACCGCCAGGCTGAGTCCCGGTGAGGCGGCTGGAAATGGTGGGCAACCCCTTCCCTAGGCAGCTGGGGCTTGACCCTCCCTCCCTCTCCCCAGCCACCAAGGCTAATCCCCAAGGCCACAGAGCTGCTCCCAAGTTCACCGCACCAGGATCACTGCTCACAGCAAATCTTCCCGGCGCTAGGGATGCCAGAAATACAAGGCGTTTGAAGGGAACAGCTCAGTGAGCCGCTCTCACGATTTTGTTTTTTTTAATCTTTGCTTTCTTTTTTCTTTGGTTTTCTGGTTTGTTTGTTTTGTTTTTGTGGTCCTGGGGATCAAACTCAGGACCCTGTGCTTGCCAGGCAGGTGCTGTGCCACTGAGCTATATCCCCGGCCCTCATCACAATTTTTAAAAAGGATCAGGAGCAGTACAGCAGTGAATGCTCTGCCTAGCAAGGGTTCCCCCTCCAGCGCTGAAAGTAAGATACGGCTGTGGGGTGCTTGGCTCTCACCTGCTCCTCTCCAGCTGGTTCAAGCTGGCTCAGCGCCTGCTCACAACCCAGGACAGATGGGCCTGGGATGTGCCACCTTCTGTCTCAGCTGGTACCACGTGGCCCCTGTGCCCGGCAGCCCTGGCCACCCGGAGCCCACTGCTCCTGGTCACCTGTGCTTATGCTGCAGCTGAGAAACAGCTCAGCAGAGAACCCCTGAGAGTTGTGTTTGGGGCAAGAGGTACCTTCCCAGGCCCTTCTCCTCCAGGCCATCCCCGCCTCTGGCACAGCCTCGGTATCACAGTGCCAACCCTGCCTGTGTGCCGAGGCTCAGGACTGGGCTGTGAGTGCAGCATCCTACGTGCCCAGGGACGGTGCACTGCAAACCTGGCTACCAGCACGGTGCGGGCTGTTTGGAGTACTAGGACCCAGCCCAGAGCATGCTACCACTGAGCTGTAGCCCTAGGCCTTTTTACTTTGACACAGGGTCTCACAGAGTCAAAGTGGGAGTGGCACTTGGCAACTTGAACTTGCGATTCTCCTGCCTCAGCCTCCCTGAGCACTGAGATCACAGGTGCGCCAGCACCATGCTCAGCCAGAGTGGGCTCTACATCAGGCCAAGCAAGTTCTCTCCTTTCAGGGTTGCCAGGCCAGTGTGGGCTTGGGGGAGGCAGGGGAGTGGTGCCCATGTTGCTTACTGGAGACCTGCTCCATCCCTACCAATGATTGGGGGAGCCTGCAGCCCATAGTGACTGTGGGGTCACATTCCTAGGGGACACATGGCACAGACACTGTGGGTGCCCTGCTCCCTAGGCCGGAGATTCCCCTCGGGCCTACAGGAGTGCAGATTAAGGTGGTTTGGGGAGCCGCCTGGGGCCTCCGGTCACAGCTCCCCTCGTCTGTAATATCTCTCCTAATCTTTCTCCTGAACTGAGCACCGTCAATCTCAGAAAGCCCAGCGTGGTGCCACGACCCAGGCCTGCTTCCCGGGAGGATGCTGTCTCTGCCCAAACCCACCTCCTGCCATCTGCCAGGGGACACTGCCGTCTGGGTTCCCAGCATGCTTTTGGCCATCACTGTCCTTGATGCTCCCCATGGCTGGGTGCCAGGGACCCCTCGGGAGCCACTAGACAAAGTTACTCCCCAGTGCTCACTGCCCAACATGCGGAGGCACATGCAGGCTGCAGGGCCCCAAGGTCAGCAGGGCGGGGGCTGTGGGGCTCAGGAGTTCCTGAACAGCCCTAACCATGGTACCAGCCTGCGCTGTCCATCACCGGGGCTGTGGGGGACACAGTGATGGCCAGGACCAGACAAAGGTTCCATCAAGGAGCTGAGCCAGACAGATAAAGGGCCAGGGTGTGGCTCAGTGGTGAGCGCTTGCCTGGGACACAGAATGCCCTAAGTGAGAAAGAGACAGAAAGGATCGCTTTCAAAAGAAAAAGAAATAAAGAGCACTGAAGCCAGGCACAGTGGCACACACCTGTCACCCCAGCTACTGAGGAAGCTGAGGCAGGATTGTAAGGTCGAGACCAGCTTGGGCCACTTAGTAGTAGCCTGTGTCCAAATAAAAAACTCTCTGAGGGTGCAGTGCCATGGTAGAGCACCCCAAAAAATTGTTTTAGAAAAGCCTCAGGGCTCCTGCCCAGCCCAATGCCAAAGAGCCAATTCTGCCCCCTCCCAGGGCCCCCCCCCAGGCCCGGCACATGCTCAGCACCTTCTCAGCCCTCCCCCGGCCCCCGAGCGCTGTCTGCAGACAGGAGCCCTGGTGGCCTGCTGTGACTCCCCACACCGCGTCCACAGCCAGGCCACAAAGGGGTGGCCTGAGGCCTGCGTTCAAGGTCAAAGCCCGGCCAGGAGGAGCCAAAAGCCCAGGCCCTGCATCCCCCCGGGGCAGCACATGGGGCGGGAAACACTTCTGAAGTCCTTTATTGGGCCGGCAAGGCCGGGAGCTGCCCTCGGAGTGGGGTCCCAGTCCAGAGTGGCGGGTCTGCGCTGGCCCTGCGCCCGTGCTGGCAGGGCGGGCTGTGGCCTGCGGTGGGCGGCCCCCTATTTGGTGCGCTCCTTCACGTACTCCCAGCCCTCCCTGGAGTACTCCAGGGCCTTGGTGGGCGCCGCTGACAGAGCTGACATCACTTTGATAATGCCTGCGGGGGAGACGCGCAGTGGGGTCCCTCGCGCAGCCACTCCCCGCATCCGGCCCGCAGGGAGGCCCCCGGACAACCACTTCTGCCAGGGAAACTGAGGCAGAGGTGGGGCAGTGCCAAGCTCACAGGATGAGCTCCGGTGGGGCTGCACACAGCCTCCCTCCCCTCCCGACAACACACAGAAGCCCTCCGAGGACGCTCCATCGGGCCAGTCCCGCTCCGCCACGGAAGACCCGGAGCGGGAAGGGGGATCGGGAGGAAGGAACGGCCAGGAGGCAGGGAGGGGGCCGTGCTGGGTGCCGGGACCGCCCAAGAGGCTGGGGGCCTACCTGCATTCCAGGACTCTCGGATGGGAAAGTTCATCTTTGGAGGGGCTGGGAGCTGGGGAGAAAGAGGAGCGAGGGGCCGGTGAGGAGGGCGGCTCGGCAGCAACCCGCACCCCCAAAGGTGGAGCGCGAGGTGCAGGCTTTCAGGACGAGCCAGCCCGGTGCGGACGACACCGAGCGGGGCTGCAGGCGCCCGCGCCGCGCCGGTACCTGTGGGATCTGCAGGCCCGTCTGCCGGCACACGTACTGGCAGAAGTGGTACACGGCCGGGGGCACCACCTCCTCCGCCCGCCGCAGCGCCGCCTGAGTCCTGTCGCTCGGCCCCAGCAGCTCCTGGTCGTACACCAGGTACACGGCGCCCCCGGCCAGGCTGCCTTTGATGAGGAACCTGCAGACGGGGAGCGGAGGGCCCGGCTCAGGGGACACCGCCGCCCCTCCTGGGGTGCCACTCGTGTTCCCAGGGCTCACGGGGAAGCGCGGGGCAGCGCAGGCGCGCACAGGGCCCGAGCCCTGCGAGGCACAGCACTCGGCGCACGCCGTGCCACGCAGGGCCACTCACTACAACTAGGAAACCGAGGCCAGAAGGGGGGCGAGGGCCACCCGACGTCCCGCAGGGAAAGGAATGCTGAAGCCTTAAGCGCCCCGACCTCCCGGAAGGCTTCCGCAACCCGCGGGTTTTTTCTAAGTGTCCCGGGGCGCTTCCTGTCTGTCACTCTGCTACGGGATTCCGCGAGCATTCCCATTTCGCATACGCGGCTACTGAGGCTCGCAGGGCTGTCGGGCACAGCGAGGCCAGCGACCCCTTGTCATCAGACGCCGAAGGGTGGCGACTAATGCCCCCGGGAAGCCCCCTCCCCGTGAGTCTGTTTCACTCTGCGCCATGGGAGGTGGACTGACGCTACAGGAAGGGCAGAGCAGGTGGAGACCCGACCAGAGCGGACGAGTGCCAGCAGGAGGGCTTCCCTCGGCGGCTCGGGCGGTGCCCCACGCACCTCATCAGCGACCACACTCCAGCCGCCATGGTCGCTTGGCTCCGCGCGCAAGGGCACTCGTCTCGCCCGAGGCTTCCGGTCGCGGGGCAGCAAGGGCCTCCGGGAAGTGTAGTCTCCCTTGTCGAGTGCAAAGGCCTCTGGGAGTGATAGTCTCGCTAGGGCTCTGAGATTCTGCAGCAGCGTGCAGCCCCGCTCCAAGAGGCCCCTGGGAAATTCCGGGCCACCTTACAGTTGTCTGGGAAATGAAGTCGGAACAAGCCCAGCAAGCCCTCCTACGCCAAGCCTTCTGGGAAATGTAGTTCAGCTCGGCCTTGCCAGCGTGAGATTTCAGAGGCGTAAACGTCTGGACTGAAGCCTAAAGGGGACCCAGGAAGAGGTGAAAGACCGAGATCCACCCGCGCCAGCGCGAGGGACCTACGGTGCTGACCTAGGAAGAGCAGCCTAGAAGTGTGTTGAAACAGCAACGCGAAGGCGAGATTGTTCCGAGGAGGCGGGGCCTATGTCACGTGACCTGGCTTGAGGGTGGGGCTGCTATTCGGGGGCGGGGCCAGACTCGGGCCGTGGGAATCCAAGTGGACGCGGTTGCCTGGCAACGCCCAGGCGCAGATTTCCCAGTGGCCGAGCCTCTCCCCCGAGGGGGAGTGGGCTCCTTGTCCGGTGAGTCGGGCCCTATGGAAGAGAGTGTGGTCGGAGGAGTGCCCCGGGAAGGGAGGCTAGAGGGCTGTTCGCGACTGTCCCAGGCCTGGACCTCAGCCCGCTAAACAGGACTGAGGTCTGGGTGGGTGGGTAAGTGCCCGGTCGGGGGTGCACAGTGGGTCAGACGCCTTCTTTGTCCTGATGGCAAACAGAGGCCGGCTGAGGTCCCGCAGCCAGTGCGTCCTGCCAGGATTTGGGTTCCCCCATTCCTCCTGCTTCCTGCCCCGACCACTTCAGCCACTCACTCACCCACCCCCTCTGTTCATCCGTCCACCTGTCCGTCCACCCGTCCATCCGTCCGCCTGTCCATCCACCCGTCCATCTGTCCGCCTGTCCATCCATCCATCCCGAGCCGCCTCCCCTGCGGTCCTCCCGAGGCCAGAGGAGGGCAGGCTGGGAAGAGGGCTCTGCGAGGGCTCGGAGCGCGGGACTGCTGGGCGTGGCTGAGGAGTTCAGGCTTCCAAGGAGCACTAAAAGCTTCAGAGTCAGGGTTGAGGTAAAACAGAAATCCTGACCCAACTGCAGCCATTTTGTTAAATAAAGCTGCAGTCATTCTGTTCTCTGCCACTGAACTCGGCCAAAATTATATGATTTGTCATCAAATTGAAACTTCTGTGAACGTGCTACAAGCAACTTGCTACATATCCAACTGTGTTCATCACAAAATCTGCACTGTTTTCTGGCCTCCAGCAAAAGCTTATCGCATTCGGGGCTGGGGATTTAGCTCAGCGGCAAAAGCACCTGCCTGGCAAGCGCAAGGTCGTGAGTTCGGTTCCCGGTACCGGAGAAAAACCAAAAACAAAAAAAAAAAAAAAAAAAAAAAAAAGCTTATCGCATTCTTGTAACTTCTGTTCCCTACCCTATAAATGAGACAAGCTCTGTGTAATCACGACCTTAGACTTTGCAGATTACTCCTCTGGGGTCCGCTAGCATTAATAAAATTTCTTTCTTCTCCTGAGCTCCTGGCTACTGTCGATTTAGTTTTTCCCGCCACAGCGGGACTTGACGTTAGACTCCAGGGCAAGGCCCAGACCCCCCTGGCCTGATAGCCTTCAGCCTGACCTAGAGGAAGGCTAGGGGGCCATGGGGGGGAGGCAGAGGCCAGAGGAGAGGGTGAGAAGGGGGTCAGGGTGGGGGCTGGCAGCAGGCAAGCGTGGGGTCCAGCAGGGAGTACTGGGGTGCAGAGGAAGGGACAGTGGGCCTGATGAATGTCATGGAGAGAGGCCCAGAAGGCAGGGGAGAGGGGGGAGGGGTGAAGGATGGAGGCCTGAATCTAGAGACTGGAGATTTGGGGGTTACCCCACCCTACTTCCTACTTCAGCCTTTTGGACTGGGAAGTCTCCCTCCCCCTGACCTGTGGACTTCAGAGGACAGAAACTCCAAGATGTGACGGGCCTGTATCCTTTTCTGGGGAGACCCACGGCCCCTAGAACTTGAAGAACTGGCCTATTACTGTCTTCCTCCTTCACAGCCAAAGTCACAGCTTGACCCCAGCAACCTGGGCATGTCTGTGTCCACCCTGCCCCAGCCCCAGGTATCCGGCTGCTGTGGAACTTGGGATCAGGCCAGAGGGAGGACACAGCACCGAGGAACTTCAGAAGGCAGGCACTTTTATTACGCTAGCAGCCTGATGGGAATCTCTGTTCCAAATCAGCAGCCCTGCCTTGGGGTTTTTCAATCACTTACATAGGTTGTTAGAAGGAAGTACAAAAGGCAGATAACAGGATGTTCCACGGTTGGTTACACACGTCTTGTCATATGTTGCGAGGCAAAACTTATCCTGTGCAAGCTAATTGGGGCTACTATCCTCTAACAAGCAAGTCTAGGTTATGAAGAGCAGGAAGAATAAATCATTGTCTAAGACTGAGCTGAGCTGTCCTTGAGGTGATAAGTCTCTGGAAAACTTGAAAACAAGGGAAACTAACAGGACGCACCCGGGCCGCGTTGCTCTTATCCTGCAGGTGGCAGTGGGATGTTACGGCTCCTTAAATTTTGTAATTTTCTGAGAACAGGCTGCACTTCCCAGTTTCACCCCTGTATAGTGTCAGAAGCATAAGCTTGAAGATTTCCTTTACATTTGAACCTGCCTCTACATTTCCTCCGCTACACGCCTGGTCTCTGGGATCTCCACGCACAGCAGTGTCCCTGGCATGCTCACCGCGCCCTGCACACTTCCCTCACAGCTCTCCGTGTCAGCCTCCTCTGTGGAACGGTTTGGGGCACTGAAGATCCAGCAATGAAGAAAAAGTGGATTTCTGTTTCCTTCCTGGCCTTACGGAGCTGACAGTGTAGGAGAAGAGAGGGGCAGTGATCACTCAGGAATTTAAAAAAATTTTTTTTTTCTTGTCTTGCTGTGTAGTTCAGGCTGGCCTTGAGCTCACTATGTGGCCCAGGCTGTCTTCAAACTGAAAGGTTCAAGTCCCAGTACTGCCGTTACCCCCAAAATGCTCTCAGGTAATGCTAAGTCCTAAGACAGCTCCAAGCTGCTGAGTTCCAGTGGTAAGGGAGAGGGATAAGGCAGGAAGGTGCTCTAGGAAAGAGGACCCAGGGCTGAGGGGCGGAGGGGCCCTGGCAGAGCACAGGATTGGGAAGAGATCATTCTTGCGCTGAAACTCAAAAGAACGGATAAATTATAGCGGGAAAATCATCCCAAGCAGAGGAGCAGCCTGAAAGCCGGGCGTGGTGGTGCACGCCTGTAATCCCAGCACTTGGGAGGCTGAGGCAGGAGGATCGTCGCGAGTTCGAGACCAGCCTGAACTGCATAATGAGACCCTGTCTCAAAAAGAAAAAAAAAAAAAAAAAAAAAAAAGCAGCCTGGGCAAAGGCCTCGAGGCAGCACGGTGAGGGGCTGGATTGGAGGGACAGCAGGATACCCGCCGGCCTCTCTGCTGCAGACCTCGAGGCGATGAAAGTGTTGCTCCTCACCGGGGTTCATCCTCCATGCTGGCGCTGAGCCCCTCCCAGCCTCCGCCCCTCCTGAACTCTAGGCACCGCCTCCTCCCGGCTTGCGAGAGTTTAGACTGAAGCTCAGCCCTCTAGCCCCTCCCCTTATTCCTATAGACCACGCCCCCGTCCTGTAGGCCTCGCCCTCTCCCATCCTTGGCTCCGCCCCAGCCTGGCGCCCCGCCTCCGTGTTGTGCTCCGCCCCCTGGAGCATGGCCCCGCCTCCGCCGAGTGACTGTGCGGCCCCCAGCCTGACCAACAGCGAGGGCTCCCTGGTGGTGGTGTCCTCGCTGCTCACGGCGTTTGCGGCGAGGCGGTTCCCCGGGCGGGCACACCTGGGGAGGTGGGGGGCGCGGCCGCTCAGCGCCCGCCTGCCCCAGGCCGCGTGCCGGTGTCCTTCTCCGCGCCCTACTCGGCCAAGTCCGCACTGGACCGCTACTTTGGCTCCCTGCGGCGGGAGCTGGACATGCAGCATGTGGACGTGGCATCACCCTGTGCATACTGGAGCCGCGGGACCTTCGCCGCCGAGGGCGTTAGGGGAGGGCGCGCGTGCAGGGGTCGGCGTCCTGGCGCAGTGCCCACCACGCTCTCCTGTATGCGGGGGCGCCCGGGCGGCCCTGGCCGTGATCCGCAGCAGAGCACCGCGCGCCGCCTGCGTCTTCTGCCCTGGGCGCTTCTGCTCCGTGGCTGGCTACCGCACCCGCCGGCCTAGTTCGTCCGCCAGGACCTCCGTGTCTCTGCCGCGGCTGGACCCTGAGTTCCCAGGCCATATAGTTACAGAAAGACCTCCAAGAGGGTGGCCAAGGCCAAACGCCCAAGAGCGAGCTCAGCCAGGCGTGATGGCACACGCCTGTAATCCCAGTACTCAGGAGGCAGAGGCAGGAGGGTGGCCACAACTTTGAGGCCAGCCTGGACTACAGAATGAGAGCCTGTTTCAAGCACAAACAAAATACAGAAGGGCAAACTGAGGACAGCTACCAGCACTTGGACACGCGCGCCTCTTGGGGACTTGTAAGGCGTCAGCCCAGGCTTCTTGGTTGGCACTGGTGGCAGGGTTATTGCTTCCACTTTGTAGAGACCTGGAGCTTGGAAGAGTGGTGTGACTTGGCCAGGCCAGGCCGCCCTGGAGGCAGCCCCATGTTGCACCTGACCTTCGAGCCCCTCCTGGGCTGCTGGCTGGCTCAGCTGGGGCTCCGGTACCCTGGACACTGCGGGCCGCTCAATGGCGCCAGGTACAAGATCCTAGGAGGAGAAGAGAGCATGTTCTGGGCTGGGCCCAGCCTCCCATTTCATAATAAAATCCATTTTCCCTCACCTGTCTCTGTGGCTTACATTTCAAGTTCCGTAGGCCTTGTAACTTGAAGGAGCCAGGAGAGGAGCCAGAATTCTCAACCCTGACACCTACTTCACAGGTGGAAAAATGGAGGCTAAGGCAGAAATGAAACTCATTCAGGAAGTCAGGGGGACGTGGTGGTGCATGCCTGTCATCCCAGTACTCTGGGAGGCTGAGACAGGACGATCCTGGGTTTGAGCCCCAAACGGTGAAGCACTCCTGCTATAAAGAACACAGGTGTGAAAGTAAAAGCTGAAAGTAAAAGGAAACATTGCTATAAAATGCTGCCCCAAATGGGGCGTGGTGGTGCACGCCTGTAATCCCAGCACTCGGGAGGCTGAGGCAGGAAGATCGTTGCAAATTCAAGACCAGCCTGGGCTACAAAGTGAGCTCAAGGCCAGTCTGAATTGCAAAGCCTGTCTCAAGAAGACAAAAAAAAAAAAAAAAAAAAGCCGCCCCTGTGGGCCAGCAACGCTCTAAAATGAGAAAGGCTGTTCCCAGCTCGAGTGGTGGCTGCCCTATGCCTGTTATTCTAGGGGTCAGGGGCAAGACAGCAAGTTTGGAGCCTGAATCTAGGCAGTTTAACCAGACCCGGTGTGAAGATTATTATTTTTTTAAGTCTTTTTTTTTTTTTTAAATTTTTTTCTGGTATCAGGAATCGAACTCATGACCTTGCGCTTGCCAGGCAGGCGCTTTGCCGCTGAGCTAAATCCCCACCCCCAATTATTATTTTTTTAAATAAAGGGTTGGGGATGCTGCTCACTGTACCCTGGGGTTCAACCCTCAGTACAGAGGGAAAGGCTTATTCCGTTCAGACCAGCCCCAAATTGAGACTGTGTCTTGGCGCTAAGACTAAAAGCGGGGGGGGAGGGGGGGATGAAAACGCAGACGCTGTTTGTTGTTACATTCATCTGATTCAGTTATTTAGGGTCCCATCTCTGTGCCCTCTTAAATTACCTCACCTGCCACCAGGAGGCACTGTAACACATCCGCTCTCTGAAATCAGTCCCTTGTTAAAGGTTTTATTTCACGCACACACTATACGCGTTCCTGCGTGTTCTGGAGGTTGAAACCAAGGACTTCGCACCGAGCCACACCCCCAGCTATGTATGTATGTATATTTGTTTGTCTGTCTAGAGACAGTCTCACTAATTGGTAAATCGTCCAGTTTGGGCTCGAACTTGGTTGGGTTCCTCCGGTCTCCACCTCCCACAGTGCTGAGATTATACCTGTGCAGTGCACCACCACGCCTGTCTTCGGGTGCTCTTCACATCTGAAACAGGCTCTGGGAGCTGAAATCGCGGGCGCAGGGTCAGCGAACAAGCGCCGGGGGTGGAACTCGAATTTTTATTCCACCCTGAGACAGAGGCGACACAGGTACGCCCACTGGGTCCAATTAGCCTAGACCAGCGCAACACTAGTGTGCATGCTCAAAGAAACCCATTCGCACATGCGCAGAGCTCAAGGAGCCTCCCGCCGCAAGGGGGCGCCCGCTACTTTCGTGCCACTCTGGGCAGCACTTCCGGCGGTAAGTAGATATCCCAGAGTTCCGTGGGCGTTCGGGTCCTTCCGCTGCAGCAACCATTGGAGAGTGGCCGGTAAGTGGGCTCTCGCTGCCGGCATCCGACGCCATCCAGGGCCCCGGCTCCCCTGTGTGGGTTAGGAGGTGGCTGGCTGCGGTGAGCAAATTCGGGGAAGCCGGGGTGTGGGGTTCCGGGCCGCGGGAGCCGAGCCCGAATGCGTTCTGTAGCCCTTCTCCTCCGCTCTCCCCAGCCATGGCTCTGCGCTACCCCATGGCCGTGGGCCTCAACAAGGGCCACAAGGTGACGAAGAACGTGAGCAAACCGAGGCACAGCCGCCGCCGCGGGGTGAGTACGGGGCTTGGCGGCTCGGCTTCGGGGCGGCTGACGGCCGTGAGGGCTCCCGGAAGCGGGGCGCGTCGGGCCGGCCGGGCACACCCCGCACACCCTGCGCCACCGGGCCGGCGGGAGGGAGCAGCTCGGGGCCGGCACGGGGCGGAGCAGGCCTGGGGCTTTGACGTGTGGGCAGGAGTTCGCTCGGTACATCAGGAGCCGGCCCGGGAACGGTGTTGGAGGGAAACGTTGAGGCTTTTCGTGTTGTGTTCGTTCCGTGGAGGTTTGACTCGTTGGGGTTTTATGGCAACCCTGACACCGTGGGGGCGGGGCGGGACGCCGTCCACAGCGCCGGGGCAGCGTGCCAGCGTTGCCAGCACCCGGGGTAGTTCGCGCTGCTGCTCCTCCGCAGCGAGCGCGCCCCTCGCTTTGGTTTGTAGGGTCCTGGCTGCACCCTGGGCCTTTCGCTCTGAACTGCAGCTCCAGCCCTTCGACTTTCCGTCCCGAGGGGCTTCCCGCTTTCTGCTCGGCCTGCCTCAGCCTCGCAGAGCCCCCGGGCTGAAGGCTGGCTCCGCCGCCCGGCTTCTGCCCCGCGTTTTGGTTGTGACGCGGATGGAACCCCGGGTCTGGTGCAGGCTGACTCCGGAGAGCAGCCCGGGACACCGAGGCCGAACCCAAGCGGCCGAGCCCCTCTCTGACGCCTGCCTTGTCCCTCAGCGCCTCACCAAGCACACCAAGTTCGTGCGGGACATGATCCGGGAGGTGTGCGGCTTCGCCCCCTACGAGCGGCGCGCCATGGAGCTGCTCAAGGTCTCCAAGGACAAACGGGCCCTCAAGTTCATCAAGAAACGGGTAGGCGGGCGGCGCCGGGCCGTGCGGTGGGGCAGGGCCGCCCGGGCCGGGCCGCCAGGCTGACGCGCCCCTTGCCGCAGGTGGGGACGCACATCCGCGCCAAGAGGAAGCGCGAGGAGCTGAGCAACGTGCTGGCCGCCATGAGGAAGGCAGCTGCCAAGAAGGACTGAGCCCGTGTGTGGAATAAACCTTTGCAGAGAGTCCTGGGTGGCGTCTTCTGTCCCCCGCCCACGCCCTGCTCGCGAGCGCACACAGGCGGCAGCCGCACAGTACTGAAAATGCTTTACTCATGATTAGACAGCCCCACGATTCAGCCGCAGTCCGGTCCGGGTCCCCACCGCCGGCCCGCACCCTCCCCCGCGTGGTTTCCTTCTGGCTCCTGGTGCCCAGGGCATCACCGCTCGATGGCCAGGGCCTCCGCGTGGGGCTCGGGCACGGGGAAGGCGATGTCGAAGACCTGGGTGTAGTGCTCCACGAAGTGCACCTCCAGGCCCTCCGTGATGAAATCGGCCAGGTCGTAGAAGTCCTTCTTGTTCTCCTCAGGGAGGACGATGCAGGTCACACCAGCGCGCTTGGCCTGGGGTGGTGGAGCGGCCACTCAGCCAGCGCTGGGGGTTGGCAGCTCAAGTAGGGGAACAGGCCCCCAGAGTGCAGGAAGCGGTGCTAGGCTCACCCCACAGCCGCTGAGACGCCAGGCGGGTGCTTGGCTCCTGGTGCTCGGCAGCAGCAGGACACAGCCCGGCCTGCACCCGCAAGTCCCCACGCCACGCCTAAGCCTGTGCGGGCTGTGAGCCCAGTGCTGCCTCAGCTCCCCAAGTGGGACCCACTCTTTGAGAACACTGTTCTAAGTCTGTCACCAAGCACTGGCCCCATGACCCCCGCCACTTATAGTGCCAGGACCCTGCACAGAGGCCCCCGCCCCAGGCTGAAGCTGAGGCCACCACTCCCCTTGGCAGGCTCGCCCCCATGAGGGTGCCACGGAAGCAGGGACTGCCCCTCCCGGCATGCCAGAACCCGGATGGAGTGGTGCCTGGTGCCGGGGACACTCACCGCGATCATCTTCTCCTTGATGCCGCCCACGGGCAGGATCTTGCCTGTGAGGGACACTTCACCTGTCATGGCCAAGTCCTGCCGCACGGGCTGGTTCAGGGCCAGGGACAGCAGGGCCGTGACGATGGTGCAGCCGGCACTGGGCCCATCCTTAGGGGTGGCGCCCTGTGGGGACAGCAGCAGGTGGGCGGCGTGGCCCTGGACATGGCTGTGGGGCGGGGGGCAGGCGCGGGACTGACCTCGGGCACGTGCAGGTGGATGTGCGAGGTCACCAGGTAGTCGTTGCTGGGGTCGCGCTGCATCAGGAAGGCCCTGGCAAAGGTGTAGGCGATGCGCGCGCTCTCCTTCATCACCTCCCCCAGCTGGCCCGTCACCTCCAGCGAGCCGTCCTTGTTCTCCCTGCTGTCCCCGTCACGTGGCCGTCTCAGGGACGTCTCGATAAACAACGTGGAGCCTCCTGGGAGGGGTGCAGGGCCCTGAGCCACCCTCGAGTTCCCGCGGGACACCTCGCAGGGTGGCAGAGCCAGGACACGACCACCCTGTGCGCCCTCGGCTGGCCACGGAGTGCCCCGCTCGAGCCCCCCCACCACACCCAGCCACCAGCCACGTGACCCCACAGCTCAACCCCAGGGCCTGCCACACCCTCCCAGGTGGTGTCCGCATGACCTCAGGCTGAGGGCCTCCCGGACAGTGCGGGAGTCACCCCAAAACACTGAGTGCCCACCCCAAGGCCACACCTTTTTTCTGGCAGCCCCAAAGCCCTGGGTCTTGCCCCACACTGGCCCCTTGGTGGCGGGGACGGAGGCTGGAACTGCCTGAGGCAAGGCGGGCATGAATGGGTCCCCAGTGACAACCCGGCTCACCCATGGCGGTCCAGGCGAGGCCCATGACCACACCGGGCGGCGTGGCATCGTACATGCGTTCCACCGTGAACACCGGCTTGCCCACGAAGTCCTGCAGGTTTTCAGGCGTCACCTCCACCGACTCCGCCTCGCCACTCACAATCTTGTAGGCCACCTTGCGCAGCACCTGGGCAGGGCAGGCGGGCGCGCGGGCTGGGGTGCGGGGTGCGGACAGCAGGCAGGGGACCCTGGGGCTGCGGGGCGCGGCTCACCTTCTCCACCTGCTTCTGCAGGTTGCGCACCCCGCTCTCGCGGCAGTACTGCTTGATGAGCAGCGTCAGCACGGCTGCTGACAGCCGCGCCCTGCTCTCGTCCAGGCCGCACAGAGCCCGCGCCTGCGGCACCAGGTAGCGCTGCGGGCAGGGAGCGCGCGGGTCAGCACGGGGCCCAGGGTCACGGGACCAGGGGGAGGGGCCCAGCAGGTGCCAGGACCTGCAAGGAGCCAGCGCTCACCGCTGCCACCTGTCCTCAGGCCTCTGCCCACGCTGCACCCTGCAGCGGGGTCCTCTCCCCGCCCCACCCCACGTCACCACGATGCTACTTGCTCCAAGAGAGCCTCCCGGCCCCCTGGGCTGAGCCTGCTCTGCACAGCCTTCCAACGCTTCCCGTGAGCGGCCCTGTGCCCTGCTGTCACTCCACGCTGGGACGGGTCCCTGCTGCTCCTCTCCCGCCCCAGTGCCTCAAAGCTCAGCCCTCTGGGAAGTCAGGCGGGGCAGGCTCAGGCCTTCTAGAGGGGACGGCGCCCGCTGGTTCCTGAGAGCGGCCCTCCCCAGCACCCAGCTGGGAATCTCGGGTTGGCCCGGTTCCCACTGCTGGAGCAGGAAGGACCCGCCCTGGACCTCGACGGTGGCTGACGTGAGGCTCAGGGCCGGCCAGGGCATGGCGGCCTCCCTTGCTTTACGTGTTCCCCGCCGCAGACGGCCCACTCGCTGTGTGGCCCGCCCGCCGGACGCCGCACCTCCGCGATGGCCAGCTTTTCCTGGGCCACGTAGCCGGACACATTGATCATCTCCATGCGGTCCCGCAGTGGCTCGGGGATGGTGTCGGTGACGTTGGCCGTGCAGATGAACAGCACCTTGGACAGGTCCACAGGCACGTCCAGGTAGTGGTCCAGGAAGTTGGCGTTTTGTTCAGGGTCCAGCAGCTCCAGCAGCGCCGACGACGGGTCCCCCTGGTAACCGCGCCCGATCTTGTCCACCTGGGGCAGCGACAGGGAGACCAGGGCTGGGGACACCACCTCTTGCATCATGACCACCAACGCCGGGGTGTTCTTTTTCCTGGTACTGGGGATTGAACCCACTGGCTCCCCAAGTCCTTTTTGAGGCAGGGTCTCGCTGAGCCACCAAGTGCTGGAACCTGCAACCCTCCTCCCCCGGAAGCTGGGATGATGGGTGTGGCCGCTGCCTGGGAGGGCAAGCTTGGACACGTGCCCCGGGGACCACGAGTGACCCCGGGCGAGGGATACCTCGTCTATCAGCACCAAGGGGTTCTCTGTCTTAGTCTTCTTCAGGCACTGGATAATCTTCCCGGGCATGGCACCCACGTAGGTCCGCCTGAGGGGGGCATGGATGGGTCAGGGGCCCCTTGGGAGCCCAGCCCCCACCCCTTGCACCCCAGCTCTGCAGCGCACCACGCACCCCTGGGCAGCTTAGAGAGGTGATGGGGATGTACGTGTTCCAGCCCCCGGCGGCGCCCAAGCACGCATGCCACAGAGAGGCCGATGCCCCCAGCACAGACAAGGCCGGGCCAGGCCAGGCCTGGGACCTCACAGTGGGGCCGGGCACTGCTGAGGACAGGAGAAGCCCGAGCACTTTACTTATTTATTCTTTTGTCTTTTCGAGACAGGGTCTCGATATGCAACTGAGTGATCCTCCTGCCTCAGCCTCCCCATTGCTGGGATTACAGGCGTGCACCACCACGTCCAGCATTTTATTTATTTTTTTGTCTTCCCAGTGTTTTACCCAACCTTTGTGTTTCCTGTGTGCCTGTGCAATAGCCACAACTAAGGTAGACAGGAACTGGGGCGCATGCCTGTAATCCCTGCACTCGGAGGCTGAGGCAGGACAATCCCTGCAAGTTCTGGACAGCCTGAACTACACAGTGACTTTGAGACCACCCTGATCTAGTGAGACCCTACCTCAAAAGAGCAAAAGGCAGCGAGGAAATCACAAGGTAGGGAGGCTAAGTGTGTGTGGACAGAGGTCAGGCCTGGGGTGATACTTTTGGGGTGTATGTGGCACTAAGTCTGAGTCTCCATGTGTGTTCACATGTGTGTGAAGACCCAGAAAGAGCTCCTGGCCAAAGAGGGTAGCAGTGAGCCGTGTGGGTGTCAGAAGCTGAAGCAATCCAGGCGGAAAATAGCTGTGCAAAGGCCGTGGGGCAGCAGTCTGGCCAGCGCAGGACTGAGGGCCCCGTGTGGCTGAAGCAGGGGGCGCACAGGGGAAGCAAGGGGCGGAAAGGGAACAGCGCGGGTGAGGAGGCAATGGGCGGTGCATGCGGGGCCCTGTCCGCTGCAGGGCGACCTGGGCTTTGACCCCAGGAAGGTGGGAGCTGCGGAGGGCTGAGGGCAGAGGAGGGATTCTCACTGATCCATTCGACCCCAGGTGTCAGCTTCATGTCCTCTCCTCCTCCCTCCCCCAGAATCACCTCAATGCCACGGACACCCACTATTTCAGGTGGTGCCCAGGCCTCCCCTCACCCCCGGTGGGGCCTTTGCCTACAGCTCCTGGACACGAGGCCTGGGCCTCACAGCAGGGAGAGAAGCCAGACGGGCTGAGCTTTCCTAGCCAGGCCAGCACTGGGGGCCCATGGTGCCCTCAGCTCTCATCCACAGGCTGCAGGGAGCCAACCCCACCCCTGGCCCTGGACTGGGCACACAACCGACCGGGCCACCAAGGCACCTGGAGCTCTGGCTGGAGCACCAGGCCTGGAATGCACTCCTGGGTCAAGAGGGAATCCAGCCCACAGGGAGCACCTGGATTCAGCGGGGCCTGACATCCAACACCTGGACGTGTCAGTGGTGGCGGGGGCGGGGGTCATGGCCAGGGCACCGTAACAAATAGTAAAGCCGGACAGGACGGCTGAGGTGAGCCAGCCGGGAGAGGACGGGGTGGCGCCCACCTGTGCCCCTTGATCTCGGCCACGTCAGTCATGCCCCCGACACTGAAGCGGAAGTACTCGCGGTTGAGGGCACGGGCGATGGAGCGGGCAATGCTGGTCTTGCCCACGCCAGGGGGGCCGTAGAAGCAGAGGATCTTGCCCTGGGTGGAGCGGCGGAGCTGGCTGACGGCGATGAACTCCTGTAGGCAGAGGGGTCAGCAGACGAGCCAGGGTGAGGGCCCCGCCCCCTTGGACGTCTGGGGCTGCGAGAAGGGTCAAGCTTGTCCCTGAGGGGCTACCCAGGCAGAGTGGGCACTTGCCACAGGGGGCAGGGCCCGCAGAGCCCAAGGGCACAGCTAGGCGCCAGGCTGCCTCACAACGCGCCCTCCTCTCAGGCCCGCCATGCCCACCTCCCTCAACCCGCACCTCTGGCCCTGGTCGCCAGCCCCGCTGGCTCCTGCCACCCTGCCCGGCTTCTAGGGTCCCCGCGTGACACGGTGGCAGGGCGGCATGGCTGGCCCCATGGGCTGCAAGCCCCTCAGGCGGGACCCTCACACAGCCTGAGTCTGCGCCTGAGCCCCACAAACCCGCCCCGGGCTGCTCAGCCCTGACCCTTGGCCCCCATAAACCCAGGCCGCGGCGGGCTGCAGCCAGCATGTCCATCCCGGCACACGGGCCAGCGCCAAGGACAGGGCTCTGTGCTGGCCAGCAGGGGGCAGGCCTCCCAGTGCTGTGTGCCCCTTAGAACCCGCGCACAGGCGGCCCGACGCCTGAACCCCTCTGGTGACAGTCCTGGGGGACAGGCCCGGAGGTGGCTGGGTCGGGTGGGAGCAGGGGCCGCTCGTTAGCGGCCAGGAGAGATGCGACCCCCCTGGCGTGCTGCCGGCTCGCACCACCCTTCCTGAGCCCGCGGCCCACGGTGCAGCGCGGCGCCAGGAGGCAGGCCGGGCCCCTCACCAGGATGCGCTTCTTCACGTCCTCCATGCCATAGTGGTCCTCCTCCAGCACCGCCTGCGCTCGGCTCAGGTCCAGGTTCTCGTCGCTGTGCCGGCCCCACGGGATGGACGTGAGCCAGTCCAGGTAGTTGCGGGTGACACTGCAGCAGGACAGAGCGTGGGAGAGTGGTTTGTCCGCACACTGGGGCCACATCGATGCCCCCCGCTCAGCTGGGTGCCGGGGCCGGGCCCTGCTCTGGCAGCCGGGAGGCAGGCCTCACCTCGGGCTTCTCACCGCACCAGATGCGAGGGCCACCAGACCCACCCCCGCACGCAGACCTGGCACCTGGGGTGACGGCAGCCTGGGCCATGAGCAAGCATGGCCGCAGGGCCACAGAGAGCTCTTCTCTTAGGGGGAGGAACTGCTACAAGGAGGCGGGGAAGCTGGCGGCAGGTGGCAGGCAGCTCAAGGACACCCGGCCACCAAGGTTACTCTCTGACGCTGGGATGTGCCGGGAGACGCCAACAGCCACGCATGCCACGCACGCAGAGAACTCACTCCAGGGACACACGACATCCCTGTCAAGGGCATCGACAGCAGAACCAGCCCTGGGCTGCAGGTGCCTTGGGCTGCCCTGTGGAGAGCGATCCCGGCTGGGTGGCAGTGGGAGCTGCTGTGAGCACCTTGGGGACTCGGGTGCCCAGGGCCGGACAGGGTCTGAGGAAGGGCAACAGCGTGGGCTTGTCCTGTGGCTGCCCAGGACCAGGGGCCAGGACCTGTCATACAGAACCGCACAAACCCTCTGAGGCTGGGGCGCGCGCTGCCCAAACCAGTGGGGCCCTAGCGGGCTGCGACATAAGGCACGGAAGAGCCCCGCGACCTGGGAACACGGTGCCTCACACAGCATAAGGGGCTCTGCCAACAGCAGTAAGTTAAGGACCCTGGGCTGGCGTGTGGTGGCATGTGCCTGTCACCCCAGCTTCTTGGGAGGCTGAGGCAAGAGGACTGCATGCTCAAGGCCCACTTAGGCACCTTAGTGAGACACTGCTTCAAAATAACTAATAGCATGTGGCCAGACTGTGAGCCGAGCACGCACAAGGCCCTGGGCCAATCCAATCCCACATTATCTGGGGCCCAGCACCCTCACGGGGTCCTTCCAGTGGTGCACAGAAGGGTCCTGGGACGCTGTGCTGCCCACTCTAGATGGAGGAAGAGGCCATAAGCGGAAGGCTGCTGGCACTTCCAGAAGCCGGGACAGGACCCGGGCTCTCCCTGGAGCAGCCATGCTGCCCAGGCCTGGGTGAGGCCCCGTGGACTGCAGACTCCCAAGACTGTGCAGTGATACAGGGTTCAAGACACCAAGGTGGCAGGGTTCTCACAGCCACAGCAGGAAGCTCCTCGGCTGCCCCAGAACGAAAGAGCAGTGGCTCTCGGGTGGGAGCCCTGGTTTTGTCTTCTATAAAGCGGGGGTGACCGTGGCAGGCTCTGTGTGTGAAAGGTGACTGACACGCGCCCAGCGCTTCCCGTCGCACCGAGCAGGGGACCCGCCCGCCTGGCCCGGCCACCCGGGTTGCAGCGGTGGGCGCTCACTTGAACTCGGAGGAGTGGTTGTCCAGCAGCCCCAGCTTGCTGAGCTCCTCGTCCACCACGTCCATCACGTGCTTGGGCACCACCAGCTCCCGCAGCCGCTCGCGGAACTTCTCCTCGATGGCGTCCTTGTCGTCCTTCTCCAGGCCCAGCTCCTTCTTGATGATCTTCAGCTGCTCCTGCAGCAGGTACTTGCGATGCGTCTGCTTGATCTTCTCCTCCACCTGCAGGAGGGTGAGCAGGCGGGGTGAGATGCCTGCCGGGCATGTGCCAGCATCAGGGAGAGAAGCCCAGGCCCACGGCCTGGCCTCTGCCATGGTCGTCCTTTTCTCCTCCCGCGACCCTGGGCTGAGCACAGGGCTTCGCTCCATCACTGAGCTCTAACGCCGGCGCTTTATGTTTCTTCACACAGGGTCTCACTGAGTTGCCCAGCTGGCTTTGAACTTTAGGTCCTCCTGCCTCGGGCCTCAGGGAAACTGGGTCGACGTGTGCGCCTCCGCACCAGGTCCTCCGTCCACCTGTAACCCACATGCCCCCAGCACGGCCGTGCTGACAGCGCAGTCACTGGCCCGGGTGCTGTGGGAGGACCTGCTCCCCGCATCCTGAACTGCAGGGCCCCTCCCTCTCCTGAGACGAGGGTGCAGCAGGTCGGCCAGGTTCCCCACTCCAGCTCCCCAGGGCCCATTTGTCCAGGGCCAAGCGTGCTAGACTTCCCAATTAAACATGGGCTTCAAAGCTGGCTTACAGCTAAATGGAAAAAGCAAGGCACATCGGGAAAGCAACAGGGGCTGACCGTCCAAGCTGACCACAGATCGCTCAAATCCGCCAGGTGGGCCCCCAAGGATGGAAGGTGAAAAACAGTGTCTCAACCTTCCCTGGCTGGGTCCTGATTTCCAGGATGTTGCTAGGGTAACAGAGGCCAAGAAATGCTGTCTCTCCTCAGCGTCGGACAGGCCCAAGTCCTCTCTGTGAGCACCAGGACACGAGGACTGCCGTCATGGGTCCCCTCCTAGGTTTCACCACACAGAGCTAAAGCAGCGGAGCACACGTGGCAAGGGGGAGATGACCGACAGCGGCAGGCGCCCACTGGCACCACTACTCAGGAGGCTCAGGCAGGAGGATCACCAGAGCCTAAGGGTTCCAGATCATCCTTAGCGACTCAGCGAGGCCCCAGCTCACAACACAAAATACAGATGGCCATGCCTTCCCCACTGACAGGAGGGTCTCGACGCCAGTGCATGCTCCCGGCTCCAGGCCCTGGCTGCCAAGGGACAGCCTGGCGCATGCAAGCATCCTGGCCACACCCCCAGAGCTCGGGCCTCGCCCCCTCACCTCCCTGCCCAGGCGCTGCTGCAGCTTGCTGAGTTCAAATTCCTTCTTCAGGAGGGACAGGGCCTTGTACAGCCGCTTGGGGATCTGTGGAGAGGGGTACAAGGGAGTGAGGAGCCGGTGACCGCGCACAGCAGGGAAGGGCACCTGCAGCAAACACCCCCACCCCGTGTCAGGCACACCCCACAGGGCTGTCGCCCCCGGGACCCACTATTCAGAACATGGCTGGGAGCAGGGGACACCCCCACACCAGCCCAGGGATCAACCAAGGTCAGGATGATGCCATACACACAAGGGGCGACCATGAAGCCCCTCAGAAGCAGGGCAGACGGACTTGGACGGATGGGCACCTATGTGCCCGAGCCAGGACGAGCAGTGGAGCTCAAGCCCACGTACGGGGACGCACTCACGTTGGTCTCCTCCAGGACGTCCTGCAGCTCGTGGGACTCGGCCCCGGTGAGCGCGGCGCCCATGTCACTCAGGTAGATGGGGTTGTCCACCACCCGCTGTCCCGCCTGCATCATCTGCAGCACCGACTCTCTGCGGGGGGCAGAGTGGGGACAGGGATGCTGGACTACACCCCAGGAACCTGTGGCCGGCTGCCCTATTCCCTGCCTGAGGCTTCCAAGTTTAGGATGGAAAGGGTCTGCTGATTTGAGCCTAGAGACAACACCCACTGCCCCTGCAAACCAGGTGACATGGTGACCCTGCCACACTCCCCTCTCGTCCTCCAGCTGCTGACAAGGAAGGCTTCAGGCCAAACCCAGCAAGGGGCACAGTGTGTAAATAGCCTGGCTGCCAGAAGAGGGGACATCCACTGCAGAGGCAGGGCCACGCATCCCAGCCCCCTGCCCTGTGCCCTGCCGAGATGGCACCGAGAAAACCCCGTCCGCCCAGCTGTGTACTGACCTGTACAGCGGGTTCAAGGCGATGATGTCCCGGATGGTCTTCACAATCTCTGCAGTCAGGGCCTGGGGAGCGGACACCACGCTGGCACCAGCAGCCCGGAGCCCCGCCCACCACAGCTTCGCAGGCCGGGGGCTCCCCACCCAGCCATTGGCATCAACCCCTCGAAGACCATGGCGGGGAGGGACGGACACAGGCGCCAGGGGACCAAGAGCTAAAGCCAAAGCTGTCGCCGAGTGTGCCCGAGTGTGTCAGCACAGGCCGCTGTAGGGAGAAGTGCGGCGGCTGTCCTCCTTCCCTCCAGTATTCACTCTTCCTTTCTTCCCTCCCTCTGCCGGGGCTGCTGGGAACGGACGCAGGGCCTCACGCCTGCCGGGCCAACGCTCCCCATGTACTACACCCTGACTCCTTTACTGTCTGCGACGTGGTCTCGCTTCACTGCCTAAGCTGGGCAGGAACTGGTGACCTCCTGTTTCAGCCCTCCTTGTCGCTGGCGGAAAGCCAGGTGCAGTGGCCTTTTGGAAAATCAGTGAGGTAGGTTTGGTGCCTTGAGCTGGGTCACTGACGTGCCACTGGCTCTGGCACAGTGTAGCCAAAACCACTGGGCGCCCGCCACGGCCAAGCTGCACCGACACCACCCGCCCCGGGCTGCTGGTCCTGCCCGACTGGGCTGAGTGAGTGAGGAACCAGAGCCGGTCAGCAGGAGGCGCTGGTACCTGCCCTCCCAAGAAGCCCTCTGCCATCCCAGCAGTCCAGGAAGCTACGAAGGGGATCGAAATTTAAACCCAGTCTGGGAAAATTAGTGAGACCCTGTCCTAAAAATAAAAGAGAACATTGTCTCTGGGGTCTCAGAGCCTCCTTATCCTGGCCTCTGAGTCCCCTCTCCGGTCTTTCCCTCACCGGGGGTTCTCACGGGAGATGCTGAAGCCTGCTGCCCAGTGCTGCAAAATCACGGGGTGCTCTCTACATATGTGTTAGTTACAACTAAATGAAATTTGCATCCCGCTCCTTCACCATCTCAGGCTACTGAAGCACTCAAATGCCACAGGGGGCCGAGGGTGCAGAATGGTAAACCATTTCTACCTAGCAGGGCCATGGCAGACATCACCAATCGATAGCGGCAATACCCACCCCTCAGGGGTCTCTCTCGACCAAGCACCGGGCCACAGTGACCAAGAGGGTCAGATTAGAGCCACTGCCACCACCTGGCATGTTCCCCTCTGGGAGGCAGCCAATGACATCAGGCACATGCCAAGGAGCTGGCACATTCTAGGCCTTCGATTGAAACCTGGCCTACCAAGTCACAAAGGCAGGACGGCCCAGGCTGGGCGGTGGGGTGGCAAGAGACTGTCCCGTCCCCTGCCAGCTGTCCCTTTCTCCTCCCCGCCACTCCCTGGGCACCATCATGGGCAGAGAGGGACCCAGTGTACTGCCTTCATCTCCCAGGCAGGCCTGCGAGGAAGGGATGCCACTTATTTCAGGAGAGCCAGGCGCACCAACCCGGGCCGTGACTCTCCCCGGAGGGTGCGAGGCCTACTCGCCGGGCCCTGCACAGCACTCGTGGCGACTTACTTTCACTTCTTCAGTGACCTGGAAGTCTTCGTGGACCACATTCTCCACCTCTACCATGAGCACCTCCCCGGAGGCCTCCATGGCGGGCTCCTGCCCTGCCTCCCTCGGGGGCCGGGCGCTCAGCTCTTCCTCCGCCTCCTTCTTGCTCCGCTTGGTCTTTCTGCGGGGCTTCTGTCTGTTCTCCAGCTCGGCCTCCTCAGGCTCCACCTCCAGCTGTCGGCTGATATGGATCCTGGTGGGGGAGCAGAGCCCAGGTGAAGACCAGGGCCGGGGGCTCACGGGGTTCTGGTCACTGACAGTAGGTACGGAGGTGGGGCAGTCACAGGGCCTCAAGCCAGGCACTGAGCTGCAACCCCACGGCCAGGATCCCCTCTACCAGGCTAGAAACCCACACTCCCTGGGTCTCTGGCAATGCACCACACGCCTCCTACTTTTTTTTTGTGGTACTGAGGATTAAACTCAGCTGAGCTGAGCTACCTCCCCAACCTTTGTGTTTTTATTTTAAAACAGTCTAAGTTGCTAAGTTGCCTGGGCTGAGCTTGAACCAGGACTTTTGCACATGGCTACAGCCCCAGGCCTTTTTATTTTTAGTTTTTTTTTTTATGGTACCGGGAATTGAAATCAGGACCTCGCACTTGCCAGGCAGGCACTTGGGCCACTGAGCTATATCCCCGGCACCCTTTTAATTTTATGTATGTATGTATGTATGTATGTATGTACGTACGTCTTTTTGAGACAGGGTCTCACTATGCAGTTCAGGCTGGCCTTGCGCTCACTTTGTAGCCCAAGCTGGCCTCGAACTTGCAATGATCTTTCTGCCTCAGCCTCCCAAGTGCTGGGATTACAGGCATGCGCCACCATGCCCGGCTACCCCCTTTTTATTTTGAAACCATGTCTCCCCAGGTTGCCCAACTGGCCTCAAACTCGAGACCCTCCTGCCTCAGCCTCCCAAGTAGCTGCAATGACAGGTGTCCCTTTCTCCTCCCCGCCACTCCCTGGGCACCGTCATGGGCAGAGAGGGACCCAGTGTACTGCCTTCACCTCCCAGGCAGGCCTTCAAAGCCTTCGAGGAAGGGATGCCACTTATTTCAGGAGAGCCAGGCACTCTCCCACACACTTGACAAACTTGTTATACCCCCCTGCCCTGTTCCCAGGCCTGGCCTCAGTGTCAGTGACAAACGATAGGCCTGACTGACCAGGAGGGTAGGTGTGGGGATGTAGGGGACTGGGGCTGCTCCTTTCCCAGTCATGTACTTAGGCCCCATATGCTAGACACACTGCTGGTCGCCCGCGTACCTTCTGTGTCCCGTAACGATCATGCGCAGCTTGTCCCCAAGGTCCTGCATCTCATGGATCTGGGCAAACGTGCCCGTGTGGTAGATCTCATCCAGGCTTTCGACCACATCAGACTCATTGCTGAAGGAGAGGAACACAAAGGTGCTGCACAGCTGCGCTCATGCGCAGCAGGACGTCTCCGGCTGAGAGGCACGAGGGAGGAAGAACCTAACAGCCATCACTAAAAACCAAAGGCAGCCTCCTGGGCCTCTGGCAGGGAGATGCCGGCTCTGGTCTGTCACCAGGGGCATGGCACGAACACAGGCAGTAACCATGAGTCAACCATGAGGAAGGGACCCGGGCGGGACTGATTTTCTCCCACTCCCGTGCCAGTGCCTGCTTCAACACAAGCACCCTGTGGGCTGGAAGTGGAATGAGTTGCCACTTGGAGTCCAGGCAGACATCCCTGCGGCTCTACTTGGAAGCAGCTCTACGGGCATTTGAATCCTAACACCTTGAGGTTCACCTCCCCCGATCTTGACGAGGCACGGAGTTTTTCCTTTGTGGTGCCGGGGGATGGAGCCGGGGGCTTCACACAGGCTAGGACAGCGCTCACCACCGGGCGGCACCCCCAGCACAATGCGCGGAGTTTAACACAGGAATCCGGCTAGGAAAGGAGCCACACAGGCGGAAGTAGGTGGCAAGCAACTGGGCAAAGCTGCTTCTGGATTTCCCCGTGGCTCCATCACCGCCCAAGCTCCGCCTCCTCCCAGACCATCGCGGCATTAGCTTCTCATGCTCTGAACCTCGAATGTGCGGGACACAGGCTGTGACTCCTTAGGAGAATATAATGTCTGGTGATCTGAGGCGGGGCTGAGGCGGAGAGCTAGCACTAGGGACTGAATTACCGTATTACCATATCATAAACATTTAATTAGCATATCATAAACATATGCTAATTAAAGAAAGGAACTCAACGCCTCCCGCCCAGTCTGTGGAAGTGTCTTCCAGGAACCTGGTCCCTGGTGTTAAAGAGGCTGGGGACCACTGGTCTAACACAAGGAGCCCCAAGCGCCGTCCTCAGAGGGCAAGGCAGCTGCTCAGCTCTTGGCTTTTCTCTTTCATGAAGGCAAGAAGATTCCCACTACTCTACAGTGCGGGCCTGTGGTGAGCTACGGTGGCTTCAGTGAAGGGATGAAGGAAAAATGACACTTACTTGTCATCTCTCTTTAGAAAGACGCCGACATAGGGCTGGGCAAGTCGAACTTTCCTTCTTAGCAGCTCAACCAACTTCTTATTTTTAACCTAGCATGACAATGACCCCAAAGTGAAATGCAGGGTACGTGGTCTAGCTGGGAAACTGACAGTGGTTCTAGAGTTTTCTAGATCATTCTCTGGGGACATGCTAACCTGACCTAGGACACTAATCGACATGGTCCAGGAACACTGAACTGGAAGAAAGGAAAAAAAAAAAAAGATGAGGCAGGGGCCCAGGTGAGGCAGGGTTAACTAGTAACTACTTGTATTCTTTAGCAATCCTCCCCTTTCTTTCCCAAAGAAAGTTCAAAGTAGACAAATGGCCAGAAACAAAAAAATGAACATCTCTACCTGTTCTAGGGGCAAAAGCTTTGTGTTGCTGTGGAACTGGGGATTGAACCTAGGGCCTCTGCACTGAGCTACATCTCCTGTCCTTGTTAATTTTTTTTTTTTTTTGGTACCGGAAGTCGAACTGAGGACCTTGCACTTGCCAGGCAGACTCTTGTGCCGCTGAGCTATATACCCAGGCCCCTGTCCTTGTTAATTTTTGAGACAGGTTTCTCATACAAGCTGGGCTCGAACTTGCAATCCTCCTGCCTCAACCTCCCACAGTGCTGGCATAATAGATGTGCACCAGCTTCAGATGTTTTAGTTTGAAAACCCAAATCATTCTGTTTTCACTAACCTAAATACAACACTACTGTGTGTAAATCAAACGTGGCCCACTGCCCACGGTGGCAGCTTCCTCCAATCTTCAGATGAAACTACTTCATCACACCTAGGTGCTAGTCACTGATGTTCAAAACCCCAGGAGACAGAACATTCTTGATGCCACTCGATGCAGGTTGAGGACTAGTGCTGTCTTCCAGGACATATGTGATGTCCTTAAGGTCAGCTGATCCTTTTCAAGTCCTTGTTCTTTCCCAGGCCACATTTTCTTTTTCTTTCTGGGGGTTGAGCCAGGGGTACACTACCACTGAGCTACATCCCCCATCCTTTTAATTTTAAGAAGGGTCTGACAAGTAGCCCAGGCTGGGCTTGAACATGTAATCTTCCTGCCTCAGCGTCCCAAGTAGCTGGGATTAGAGGTGGGCACCTCCATGCCTACTTTTCTGGGACAGCTCTTGATGGTCAGCCCTTGAACTCTGGTGGCCACTGGAATCACCAGGACTGGTTAAAACTGTGGAGCCCCACCTGTGGGGTTCCCGACTGAGGAGACCTTGGGGGCCAAGAACAAGCATTTCAAACCAATCCCCAGTTGATGCAGAGGTAGTGATCACACACTGAGGACTGGTGTTTCAACCAGCTCCACCAGAGGCTCTAACTTACCTCTGGGGGCTCCTGACACTAGAGATGTACTGTGCTTTTGATGAGAAGAAAGCCCAGCACATCTGACGGGAGGATCCATGACCCTCTTTAAACTGTTCAATAAAGCCACTGCTCTACACTCAAAGTCACCAACAAGGAGCGCCTACCACAAGCTAGCCATGTAGCAGCAACTACAAAATCAAGACTAAACAGAGCTTTGCTAACAGGCTGAGAAATATTTACTGGCTCCAGAGGTGTCCCGTTTTCCCGCAGCCAAGAGCTGACTGCTGTGTGCTTGGCACCTGTCTCCCGACCCTGTGGTCCGTTCTTTTTTATCACTTACAAAGCAACACCAGCAGAAAAACAGCAAGGACCACAGGCCAGTCTGTAAGTGTCACCCACAGCAATTCACTGAACCCTCCTGGCTAGCCTTGGCGGGCACACAAGTCTCTAAAGAGCCACCTCTCTGTGCAGGGGCTGGTGCAAGGGACATCTGTCTTCTCTTTCCAGGGCTGAGACCAGACCTAAACTCTCCTGGCACTAGAAGCCTGGGGTGGGAGGTTTAGGAGGATTGCCAGGGGTAAGCAGCGGTACACCATGGGAAAAGGCCTCCAGGGCCATTCTGAAATACTGTCAATGTCTTCCATGAATACCTATACCTGGCCACGGGACTCTCATGAGGGTGCTGGTAAGTGATAACTTTCCCCAGGGGAAAGAGCAGCAGCTTATTACCGAGGCAAACTAAGCACCCGGCACAGTTGCAGACCCTTCAAAACAAGACCTCATGTAACTTCCACAACAGTGCCAAGAAATAAAGACACTGTTTTGATGTCTAAGTCACAGAGGAGAAAATGACTAGTTGACTGGTCTGGCTCTGGGGTCAACCTCTGTAACCACTATCACACCAAGGGCCTTGGGAGCCCTGAGACACAAGCAGTGCCGGAGAAGGGGGCGCGGCGGGGACGGAGACGCCGGTCCTGCACACTCCGGCTCTGCTGCTGCTCGACCCCGGAGATTTATTTGGCAGAGGCCGGAGCAAAGGAAGAGCCGGAGGGCAAACACAGAGGCTGACGCATTGCGTGACCTTGCTCACACACTTCACTGTTAACTTTTCTCTTTTATGAGCATAAGTTTCTACAGGAGATTATAAAAATGTTCTTGGTTTTCGAAAACGGAGGTGAGGTGGGTGATCAGGCACGAGTGTGTCTCCTCTGAGAGTTCACACTCCTTGCACTCACTGATTTCTCACAGTTACATCACCCTGTTTCTTCCCTTCCCCCTCCTAGCTCGACTCCCCCAGATCTTATCGGTTCTCGGCCTCTTCCACCAAGACAAACGCTCCTTAGGCCGGGGACTGTGTCGGACTCGTTTAGTATTGTGCCTTCCGCGCCTGTTACAGGCTACAAGGTCGAGAACACTCTACTGAAAGAATAAATCATGTCCTCTTCCCACCTTCCTCCAGTCTCTAGTACCGTTCCTTGCTATCTGATTTCCAGCTGTAATTACTGCCCTTCTCAACCTAGAAGGTAAGCTACAAAGGCAAGGATCTACCTCTGGCATCTAGATCTCTGACACAGGTCAAGCAGTCAAAGACATACTCGTTCAAGGAGGGAATGAATCCGGACCCCAACAGACTCGCAAACTGCCGCCTGAGGGAGTGTTGCAAAACGTTCACCGAGACCCGCAGGTCAGTGAACGGATGCACTGCCTCTGGTCCCGCCCAGACTTCTATCCCCAGGACTCTCACGAGGAGAGTCCTGAATTCACCGGCTTCAACTCCCCTCATCTGATCCTAAGGGGCTCGCGGGGCGGGAGGGGGGCTTTGGCTCAAGCGCGCCGATCTAGCGCTAAGCAGACAAGGATGGGAACGCTAGGCATTTCGCGAGCTCGTCTCCGATAAAGTTCTGAGGCACGAAGGCGCTAACCTGTTGCTGGCAGAAGTGGGGAGACTGAGGCCGAGGCGGGGGCGCTCTTTACCTCGACAATCTTGATAAAGCGCGGGAACACCGGATTGCGGCTGATGGCGATAAGCGGCAAGTGTGGGAACACGTCCGGGATCGTCATGGGCGTGAGCGCCGTAATGACTGGGCCTTCCCCGCCACCTGCGCCGCCCCCCACGCCCCCGGACCCTTCCTCCGCGCCGCCCTCGGGGGCATCGTCGCCTCCCGAGAACGCCCCGCCGCCGCGGCTGTTCGCCTCCCAAAGCCCTCGCCACTGGCCTGCGGTGGCCGGTCCGCGGCCCAAAAGCACCCAAGGAGGTGTGGCGTCGCAGGCTCGCCGGCCTCTCGGTAGCCACGGTCCGGCAGTAGTCGGGAGCCGCCCCCCGGCGGCGGCCAAGAGCGGCCGCCGCAGCGCCCAGCACCGCGCCGCTGCCCAAAGACGCACGTAGCCTGCGCTCGCCGCCATGGCCCGGCCATACTGGCGGCGCCAGGCACTGATGTCACTTCCGCTCGCCCGGCTGGGGCGCACGTGACGCCAGGCGCGTACCCCGGCTCGAGGGGGTGTGGTCGGAGACGGACCCCGACTCATAGCCGGGGCTCAGGGCTGAGGCACAGGGGGTACGGTGTGGCCGGGGCGGGGTCCGAGCTCCCTGTTGATCGGCCTCTGGAGTCCAGCTATCGCGCTCTAGGCCCCTTCGAGCCGCTTGTAAAGTTGTGGGCATGCACCCGCACCACTAGAGCAGTAGTACTGCTGCAAGATCAGCCTTTGAAAACTTGTGGGCAGCCTTTCGCCCACGTGTAGGCGCGCGGGTGGAAGGAACACTCAAATTTTCAGGGTGCGTAGGCAGGTTCGGGCTTCCCGGCAGACAGCATACGCATGCGCACACTGTACACGTTGCGCGGCGGCCGTGTGCGCATACCCCGGCTGCGGCTCAACCGTACAGCGGGCACAGTTTCGGCCTCTAGGGATGCAACTGCGCATGCCCAAAGTTCGGGAGGCCCGCATCGTTTCCAAGCGTGCATGCTCAGATTTGGGGTTACTCAGTGCGCATGTTCAACTTCTGCGCCGCGCATGCTCAGATTGTGCGGCGAGTCCCTGGCGGTTGTGCTGATACCGGAGAACTCAAGATAGATGCTTATGTTTATATTGATAGCGGTGGCGGCGATCGTGCGGCTCTGGCCGCTGGTTGGAGCTCAGCCACTGTGCCGGTGGGGCCGCCCTCCCTGCATGAGAGGGGCCTGGCTCACCCTGGAACCGAAGCCACTGAGTTTCTGCTTTAGGCTTTCTGGGCACAGACTCGCTACCTCCCTGTCGCCCATGCCTCTGTGGAGTACCATTTCCACTTCAGGACCTGGGCTTGGCTCCCACCCCTCGTGCTCACCTTGGCTTTGCCCTGCTGTCCACAGACAGACCCCTAAGTGGTCTGATCTCGTGCTTGCCCTCCCCGGCTCTCTGAGGGAAGCCAGCCTAGAAGCCCAAGTTCCCTGCGCAGCCCGCAGCGCCTCACGGCTCACATCTGGGGTCGGGTTACCTTCTGCCAGGAGCTGTGCTATGCACTGCCCCATGTTTAGCACCGTCTCTGGTCTCCGACTTTTAGATCCCGAGAGAACTTCCTTCCCCACGTTGGTGATCACTCGAAAAGGACTCGTGCCAGGAGGCCCCTGAGGATCTGAGAGCCCCTGGTCTGCCCCTCGGTCTTGGTCCTCCAAGCCAGGCTACCTCAGTCCGCCTGTGGCACCTGCTTACCTTTTTTTAAAATCCCAGGGCCTTAGCACTGAGCTGTTATCTCCAGCCCTTTTTATTTTTTATTTTGAGACAGGGTCTTGCTAAAGTTGCCCAGGGTGGGCTCCAGTTTGTGATCCTCCTGCCTCAGCCTCCCAGCGTGCTGGGATGACAGGCGTGTGCCATCGCACCCTCCTCTCCTTACTTATTTTCTGTTCCCTATAACTGCTTTTTCCTATCACTAACTGATGTTACTTATTTTTTGACAAATTGTTTCTTCTGTGTTACTGTCACTGGAGCATTGTTCTATAAGGATGTAGACAGTTTTTGTTACTTGTTTTTGTGCTGGGGACAGAGCTCAGGGCCTCCCACAGGCTAGACAAGCATTCTACCACTGAGCTCCACCCCCAGCCCTAAAATGCACACTTGATTTAACTCCTTAGCCAGGACATTTTTAGATATCAGTAAACGTTAGGTGAGTGGGTACGTGTACAAGTACCATCGGGGCCAGGCAGGTGGCCAAGCCTGTTCCTGCCTTCAGAAATGACCTTGAACTGTTGCATTCAGCAGGGATCTGTTTGCTGCAGTGTAGTAACAGTGTGCATCAGGTGTGTGGCTCCGACTCAGCCTCACAACAACTTTTTAGAGTAATGATGCCTTAATCTTATTTTACAGGTGTGAAAACAGACCAAGGGAAATTCAAGACATGCTTCCCAAAAGACAGAGCTGATAGGTAGAGAGTGAGGTTTTTCTGTAGGGTTTCTCTCAAGATCTGAACCATACCTTGTATCCAGTTCTTCCATTTCCCCAGTCTGGTTCTCACAGCAGGATGCTTTGAGAATTTGTTGTCCCTGGCATTGTGGCACACACCTGCAATCCCAGCACTCAGAAGGCTGAGGCAGGAGGATTGCTGAGAGTTAAAGGCCAACCTGGATTCCATAGTGAGTTCAAGGCCAGCCTGAACTACGTAGGGAGGCCCTGTCTCAGAAAACAAAACACAGAACAGGTACTTCATAATTTGATAGTTTGACCAGAGACAATCTGTAAGAAGTCAGACTAAAATATTCAATAAAAACTGACAAATTGTTTCTCCTGTCACTTTCTTCTAGTGTTCACAAAGTGAGAACAGGAAAAGTGTTTAATGGTGGACAGCAAGTTCCTGGGGTATGTGGTTCCTTCCTTACAATATTCCCTCACTTTTAGCTAACGACCAATCAGAACATTTTGTAGAATTTCTTTTCTTTTTGTTGTTGTTTTTTGGGTTTTTTGTTTGTTTTTGAGACAGGGTCTCTCTGTGTAGTGCAGAGTGGCCTTGAACTCACTTTGTAGCCCAGGGTGGCCTCAAACTCACAGTGATCCTCCTGCCTCAGCCTCCCGAGTGCTGCAACTACAGGCGTGCACCACCACACCGGGTTTCCTAGTATTTCTTGGGTACCAATAATGTGTCCATAACTTAAGAACATTGCTTACTCCAGTCCTTACAATTAATTGGCCTTAAAGATCTGTCATTCCTATAGCGATAACAAACAAATTGAGGGGCTGGACATTTAGCTCAGCTGCACAGCACCTGCCTGGCAAGCGCAAGGTTGTGAGTTCGATTCCCGGTACCAGAAAAAAAACAAAACAAACAAACAAAAACAAACCAATTGAGGCCAGGTGTGGTGACACATGAGTGTAATCCCAGCACTCAGGAGGCTGAGGCAGGAGGATTATTGCGAGTTCGAGACCAGCCTGGGCTACAAAGTGAGCTCAAGTCCAGCCTGAACTGCATAGCGAGACCATGTCTCAAAAAGGCAAAAAAAATTGAGAAAGATTTGGTTGTAGTGGCGCACGCCCATGATTCCAGCACTGTGTGAGGCTGAGACAGGAAGAGGGTGAGTTCTAGCCTGGACGACCTAGTGCAGCTTCGTCTCAAGATTGAAAATTTTATAAAGGGGCTGGAGTAGCTCAGAATGAAGTGTCTGGGTTCAATTCCTGATACCACACACACACACACATTGAGAGTGATCAAGAAGCCCAAAGAGGGCCTGGGGATTTAGCTCAGCAACACAGCCTGGCAAGCGTGAGGTTGTAAGTTCAATTCCTGGTACCGGAAAAAAACAAAAACAAAAAAATTTAGTTTTGAGCCGGGCGTAGTAGCACATGCCTGTAATTCCAACACTTGGGAGGCTGAGGCAGAAGTATCATTGTGAGTTCAAGGCCAGCCTGGGCTACATAAGTGAGCTCAAGGCCAGCCTGAACTGCATAGTGAGACTCTGTCTCAAAAAGACCAAAAAAAAAAAGAAAAGCCAAATGCAGAACTGGTTTGGAGCTCAGATCATGAGAGTTTTTATTTAATGTTCAGTCTACATTTATGTTTGAAGAGCATCCCCCCACCCCCGCAACTAGAGCTTGAACCAGGGCCTCACACATGCTAGACAAGTGCTCTGCCACTGAACTACACCCCCAGCACGTTTTATTTGTTATTCTGAGAGAGGGTTTCACTGTGTTGCCCAGGCTGGGCTCCAGTTTATGCTCTTTCTTCCGTAGCACCCCCAGTGCTGGGACTGCAGGCAAGGGCCTCCCCAGCCTGGCTGGTGGAGATTTTTCTTTTCTTTTTTTTTTTGAGACAGGGTCTCACACTGTAGTCCAGGCTGCCTCGGCCCCCCTAGTGCTAGGATTACAGCTGTGCGCCACCACGCCCAGCTGTTGGAGATTTTTAAATGCAGAGTCGCACAGGAAGCCAACCCTATGGCTTTGTCTACACAACACAGTGCCACAGGTGAAGTCACGTGAGCCAACGTGCTTTAAATGCGTAGGGAAGAATTCTGATCGGTTCAGGGGGTCTCCTGTTCACGTCGCACAACTTCAGAAGTAGTGGCCGCCTTTATAAGGGATCGAGTCTCTAGTTTCTAACATGTTAGCACCAAGATTCTTCATCCTCTGGCCTCTCTTCCAAGTAGCTAATCATCTGTGGGTTGTTTTGTTTTCTTTTGTTGTTTTGAAATATGGTTTTGCTATGTGACCTAGGCTGGCCTTGAGCTCCTGAGTTTGTGATTCTCCCACCCCACCATCCCAGCAGCTGAGACAACAGGCGTGAGTCTCTATGCCCAGTGTGGAGCAAACATGTAACATATATAGGGATAAAATGTGATATGGGCGGGGTGTGGTGCTCCCAGCGCTAGGGAGGCCGAGGCAGGAGGATAACCACAAGTTCGAACCCAGCCTGGGCAACGTGGTAAGTTCTAGGCCAGCCTGGACTACATAGTGAGACCATATGTCAAAAAAAAAAAAAAAGATGTATATGAATCATTAGCCTGTGATTTGATTATAGATCCAGAACAAATCACAATATTCCAGTGAGAAACCATCCCCAGCTTCCCCCAGTGGTTCCATGTGATATGGCCACACAACCACATCTAAATGGGAAGTAAAGCCAAGTATGGTGCCACACACCTGCGGTCCCAGGATTTAGGAGGCAGAGGCAGGAGAATCTCTTTGCCCCAGGAGTTCGAGGGCCGCTTGGGTAACATAACAAGCACCTTATCCCAAAACAAAAACAAAAACAAAACAAAAGAACAGGAAGAAACCACCTTTGTAATTCCGATTTCACCCTTTATATTTGTAATGTCACACATTAGGAGATTGTTTTTATTAGTTGTTTACTGTTAATGACTGTATGAAAATATTGCCTTTTTCATTCTAGGATGCCCTGTATTTTCCATCTACGACAACAAGCCTGATTAAACACCCATGTAAGAAAACCACAGCACTGTATCTAGGGTAAGTGGCACATGTATGTCCTGTTTTCTTCCATTTCTCTGGAAATTTAGATTTTTTGCTCGTTTAGTCACTCAACAAACATAAACAAAGACATTGCATTGCTGGCTGCATGGCTGCAGGGCATCTGCAGTCAGGAACTACGGGTGGAGAGAAGGGGGATAGCATGCCGGGAAGAAAAGTAACTAAGCACATTACAGTGTGGGTCCTGCAGTCCCACGTCCAGGTGCTCACTAACCCCCAATACCTTCCAAATCCCTTTTGTAAAAATTGGATCTGTGCTGGGCAACTCCACGCTTCCATCCTTGTCCTTATGCCTTAGACGATACAGTCTGTAGTGCCGTATTTCCACAGCATTCCACAGGCCTGGGTACAGCTCACCGGACGTTACGTAAACTATAGAAGATGTTCCAAGTAGGTCACACACAAACGCTACCCCATTTTATAAAAGGACTTGAAACTGGTCACAGTGGTACACATCCGTACTCCCAGCAACTCAGGAGGCTGAGGCAGGAGGATCTCAAGTTAAAGGCCAGCCTGGGCAGCTTAGTGAGACCATGTCTCAAAAAGCGAAAGGGCTGAGGATGTACAGTGCCCCTGGGCTGGATCCTCTGAGCCACAAATAAATGAAAAGGACTTGCAAATTGGCAGATTTTGGCATCCTTGGGGAGGGAGTCCTGGAACCAGTTCTGCATGGATACTGAAGGAGGACTGTACGTGGGTGTGGGTATGGTCTGCTGAAGATGCTTGATATAAGCATGGGGCAGAAAATGTCAGTTTCTAATGAGGAGTTGATGTCAAAACCAGGGTGTTGAAGGATGAATAGGAGTCCCCCGGGACAGAGAAATGCTGAAATGTCTGTGGTCTTGGAGAAGAGCAGTCAAAGGAACAGAAATATCATGCACTGTGCCTAGTGACTCAGGGGACCGAGTAGGACACTAGATGTTTGGCCTCATCCCAAAGGCAACAGAGGGTTTGGGGCTGTGAGATTTGCACTTGCGTAGAAGATGCATTAAAGATGGGAGTCAGGACCAGAGATGTGCAAAGGCAGAGAGGCGAGTGCTCAGGCTGCAACAAAACAGAACATGAAGCGCCGGGCATGGTGGCGCATGCCTGCAGTCCCAGCACTGGGAAGGCTGAGGCAGGAGAATCGTTGCAAGTTTGAGACCAGCATGGCCTACAAAGTGAGCTCAAGGCCAGCCTGAACTGCAGAGCGAGACCCTGTCTCACAAAGACCAAAAAGGGCCGGAGATATAGCTCAGTGGCATCAGCGCCTGCCTGGCAATTGCAAGGTCCAGAGTTTGATTCCTGGTACCAAAACAAAAACAGAAACAAAAAAACAGAACATGAAAAAAAATATAGAAAAGACCCCCACACGTAAGAGGAGACTAGCATGGTAGGAGTTGAAGGTCAGCTTGGACTGCACAGGCGACTCTGTCTCAAAAAAAGAAACCAAGCCAAACCAACCACCTGACACATTGGACTCATGCAATAACATACCACACTGTACCGCTGACATAGGCACAATTACCATGTGTCAACTGAAATTTTATTTATTTATTTATTTATTTTGCCTTTTTGAGACAGGGTCTCACTATGCAGCTCAGGCTGGCCTTGAACTCACTTTGTAGCCCAGGTGGGCCTCGAACTCAGAGCGATCCTCCTGCCTCAGCCTCTGGAGTGCTGAGATTACAGGCATGCACCACCACACCTGGCCTTGAAATTTTAAAAATATATTTTAAAAAATCACCAGCAGGGCTGGGGATATAGCTCAGTAGCACAAGTGCCTGCCTGGCAAGCATGAGTCCTGAGTTCAATTCCCAGTACCAAAAAAAACATCAATACAAAAAAATCACCAGAGTTTATAAATCAGCCATGACCAATTATAAAAGGGACTTATGCAGGGTGTGGTGGTGTATGCCTGTAATCCCAACACTTGAGAGGCTGAAGCAAGAGGATCACCACAAGTTTGGGGCCAGCTTGCACTACATAGTGAGTTCAAGGCTAGCCTAGACTACATAGTGAGACCCTGTCTCAAACACTGAAAAAAAAAAAAGGAATTATGAAAAGTACCATTCACAATAGATATCAAATTTTTCTTTTTGCAGTGCCTAGGAATCAGTAAAGTTTTAAAAACACAATCGGGCATGGTGACACATCCCAGCACTCAGAAGGCTGAGGCAGGAGTATTGTCACAAGTTTGAGGCCAGCCTAAACTACGTAGTCTCAATTCCTCACTGAGTAAAATAAAATAAAACATATAGCAATTAACTTAGCATTTCCTTTTTGTTGAAAACCATAAAATGATGGGGGGAGGCGTGGGAGCCAACTTGAATATAGTAATGATATACCATGTTCATAGATAGACTTTCCCATTTTAAAAGTTCCTGCATGAAGGAACCGATTATTTCTTACATATGCATCTCTCTTCTGAAATTATTTATTTTAATGTGATAGAGCTATATAAATTACAAAACTGGAGCTCCTCTTGTCACTTAATGTGCATTTTATTTCATATTTGATGTGGTCCTCCATCTTTTAATTTTTTTTTTTTTTTGTACTACCAATGAGGCATTGCTTTTTCTTTAATTTTGAAGCAGGGCCTTGCTAAGCCGCCCACACTGACCTCAAATTTTTGATCCTCCAACCTCAGCCTCCTAAGTAGCCAGGATGACAGGTGTGTGCTGTTGAGGTCTGAGTGGTCACCTTTTAAAAACAATGTTACTCCTTCCAGCGGGAACTGCCATCTTCCAGTAATTTGCAAGAATGACGAACACAAAGGGAAAGAGGAGTGGAGCCCGGTAAATGTTCTCTAGGCCTTTTAGAAAACATGGGGTTGTTCCTTTGGCCACGTATATGCAAACCTACAAAAAAGGGTGATATTGTACACATCAAGGGAATGGGTACTGTGCAAAAAGTGATGCCGCACAAATGTTACCATGGCAAAACAGGAAGAGTCTACAGTGTCACCCAGCATGCTGTCGGCATTGTTGTAATCAAGCAAGTGAAGGGCAAGATTCTTGCCAACAGGATTAATGTGTGTATTGAGCTTATTAAGCACTCAAAGAGTCAAGATAGCTTCCTGAAACGTGTCAAGGGAAATGATCAGAAAAAGAAGGAAGGCAAGGAGAAAGGTACCTGGTTCAACTGAAGCCGCAGCTGGCCCGGCCCAGAGAAGCGCACTTAGTGAGAACCAATGGGAAGCAGCCTGAGTTATTGGAACCTGTTCCCTATGAATTCATGGCATAGGCTGGGGATGGAGCTCTGCCATTGAGCACCTGATTGCCGCTAGGTACTCTAGGCCCTACTTAAACAGAAAAAATCATCCTGTGTTGTAAGGATGGTTTTCTTTCTTTCTTTCTTTTTTTTTTTTTCAGTCTTTTTGAGGCAAGGTCTCCCTGTGCAGTTCAGGTGGGCCTTGAGCTCACTTTGTAGCCCAGGCTGGTCTCGAACTTGCAATGATCCTCCTGCCTCAGCCTCCCGAGTGCTGGGATTACAGGGGTGCGCCACCACGCCCAACTGGTTTTCTCAATTGAACAGGTGTTTCATGCATTTACCTCAGAAACAAGTATCTGGAGCAGATTTTCATCCCACCTAGTCAGTTGTGTCAAGTCTTTACTCTTCGGTGTTTTTCTTGCAGAAGATATTGCTGGGGTATTGTGTAGGTGTCTACCCAAATGGCCGAACATTTATGAAATATTTATATTGGCTTGAAGATCCTGTAAATCACCACGGGGAAAAGACGTAGCAAAATAAATGGAAGTCACTGCAGTTAAATAAATGGAAGTCCGTCTCAGTTAAATAAATTGTTTAAAGCATCAAAAAAATAAGTAAAAGCAATGTTACTTCAAATACCCAGGCTGTAGAGATTTGTTTATGCAAAATAAACAAATATATAATGGTAATTAAATGGTCTCTAGCCAAAGAAAGATTTCACAGGAATGAAACATTTTCAGAGTATCTTCATTTTTCTTTCTTTTTTTTCTTATGTGAAACCATCCTGATTTGGCTTTCATTGTTGATTTCAGACGGCAGGTTTTTTTCACGAGAGATAACTTTGAGAACAGTCTCCATCCACTCACCATCCCTCCGTCAATGATGGTAATTATTTCAGGAAACACTTTGAAGGCTGCTCAAAATAAGTGATCGGGATGATGTGGTCAGGAAACATCCGACTAGTCTGTCTTTGCTAGTTTAAGATTATTTTACAGAGTGAAAGACATTAAGAAGCCATTTCTTTTTTGATTATTTCTTATTAGAAACATAATAATTGCATTCTTCTTGGGAAATGGGTATATGTACATATGGCATAACCTTTATTCCCCCTTCCCCTCCCACCCCCCCATCCCCCCACCCCTTCCCATGTCGGCAAAGTCTAGTTCCCGATTTCCTGCCAACTTTCTTTTATTTTGCTCCTTTGATTATTTATATGTTGGCTTTCTTGTATAAGAGAAACCATGTGATAATCAATCTTCTGTGTCTGATTTGCTTCACTTAGCATTATGGTCTCAAGGTGCATCTATTTTCCTACAAATGACTCAACTGCTCCCTTGTTTATGGCTGAGTAGTACTCCATTGTGTAGAAATATCGCATTTTATTTATCTGTTCATCTATTTATGGGCCTATAACTGTTTCCAAGACTTAGCTCTAAGAAGCAATTTCTAAGCTAAAAGAAGGGTTGGTTTTATTCTGTCCCTACTACAAAATGAGCTCACTGTTGAGAAAAAGGGACCAGAATGGCTGCCGAGTGCTCTTCCTTACTTGGGTTGTGTCGTATGTTGGTAAATCGGACGCTGCCTGACTTTGCCTGCAGTAATTTCAAGTCCTTCCTAACGTGTCTTGAGGCAGAGAATGCACCCTTTCAGTTAGTGTCTTGAGAAGTTTCGCTGCCGAACCTAAGGAAAGTCCTGCCCTGTGTGCACACACCGTGGACATGCTCGGAAGAGCGCCGTTTCCCACGTATCTGACGCACTGTCCTCTAAACCCCGAGGCTGTGCTCTCAGACAAGCCCAAGTAAGGCAGAGAAACTGGGGCTGCATCCGGGTATCACCGACTCGGATTTCCGGATTTTGCTCCCAGCGGGCCCCAGCATATTGAGTTGTTTGAAAACCAAGCGGGGGCGGGGGCTC